GATAATAACTTGAAAACATTATTTCAAAAGTAATAATATTCTATTTACATGTAAATGATCACATTATAATTTACATAATCTTAACTATTATCCCACTTCAAATATAGATTCTTATAGATACTTTGGTCCCAAAGGGTTCTTTTCTTCTTCACTAAAGATGCAGTAGTACAAAATAGACATGCAGAGACACATGCACACACACACATATAGCATATACACTCATATCCCACTCCCTACATACCACACACACACACACACATACACCACATCATACACACACCATGCACCTGATATATTCCCATCAAATTTTGCATGAAGGCATTCTGGTGGCAGGCAATTTGATTACTAGTTTACTTTTGTCAATTAACAATAGGCTTACTGATTTCTGCAGGAACCCACACTGTAAGGCCAGGAAAAATCACAGAGAAATGGAGGGAGGCAGAAAAGGGTTAGAAAATAAGTAAAAAGGATGAGTGAAGTTAGAAAAGACAATGCAAAGCCATGCTGTGTCCTTCTCCATCCCTCACAGTGTTCTGTATCCCCTTTCCTGAAGGTGGAGCATTCAGCAGGAAGAACAGCCAGATGCAGGGGCCTCCACACCAAGCTTCACATCTCCAGGTGAGCACTGGGCAGTGAAAACGGAGTGTGGTGATTGTTTTCTTGCAGCTTATGGGGATGTGAGGGGCAGGATATGAGGCGTAGGAGCTTGAGCCAACATCTGTTTGCTCCTGAGGCCACCCTTGCTGGATGGGCAGAGAAGAGCAGGGGACAGCTGGATGCTCTGGCCTTGGAGAAAAATGTCCACTTCTGGCTAGAGTAATGCTTCCATAACTTTGCACTTAAGATCTCGCTTCCCTATCAGGGACCAGACTATCCAGCTATTGATTTTTGGAAGACCATGTGTAAAGGGAATAGCACAGTTTGAGGCCTGGCTCATTTAGGAAATGATTCCTATGGGAATTGCTTATGGGGAGTTTCCACTTCTTAGGACATGCACGTGAAGGGTGCCTTCTCAGTTTAATTTTTACTAACAACTTCAGCAAAATGACACCATTCCTTTGAGTAGTGAGTCTTACAACAAATTTATGGGACCACCTTTGTATATGTATATGGCCTGTTGTTAACCAAAACACGGTTAGGCAGCACATGATTGTATGTCTGTGTGTATACTACATACTAGATATACATTATTTATTTATTTTAAGGAACTGGCTCACAAACGTGGGGGCTGCCAAGACTGAAAGTGTCTTGAGCCCAAAGGCCACCTGCAGGTAGACTTCTCTCCCCTTCTGAGGATCTCAAGTTTTTCTGAAGGCCTTCAACTATTTGAGTGGCATGGAGTCCATTTTTCTCTCAGCATTGAGCCTTAGTAACACCTTCCAATGATGGGGAAGCTACATTCAGTTTTGTGATATACACTGATTATTGGAGAGGGCCATTTAACCCATGCATGGTTGATTTTTATACGCATCCAGAACACTTAAATATGCATTCCTTATTTAAAATAGGGGGACATTCCAGGATCTGAGGGGCCAGATGCTTAAACCAAGTGAAGAATCCTCTTTAATAGGGTAAAACCCCACAAGACCAAAAGCACAAATAGACTGACAAGGGACATGTGCAGGAAAGAGGGCTGGAGCTTAAGCTGCATTATTGCTATGGACTAAATTATGGAACCTCTCAGTCCCCCTTTCAAATGTTAAAACTATAACCCCTAGTGTGCCCATATTGGAGACAGGGGAATTAAGGTTAAATGAGGGGAGGCTGCTCTGTGGCACAGCTGATAAAGCTGCTGCCTGCAGTGCTGGCATCCCATATGGGTGCTGGTTCAAGTCCCAGCTGCTCCACTTCCAATCCATCTCTCTGCTATGGCCTGGGAAAGCAGTGGAAGATGGCCCAAGTGCTTGGGCACCTGCACCTGTGTGCGAGACCTGGAAGAAGCTCCTGGTTTCAGATCTTCCCAGCTCCAGCATTTGGGGAGTGAACCAGTGGATGGAAGACTTTCTCTCTGCCTCTGCCTCTCTGTAACTCTGCCTTTCAAGTAAATAAATAAATATTTTTTAAACAATTTTAAAAAAAGGTTAAATGAGGTTATAAAGTTGGGTCCTGATCATCTGGGGCTTTATAAGAAGAGGAAGATCTGTGCCCTCCCCTTCCTTACCTCTTCTCTTTTCTGTTCTTTAAACTACTTAGTGTGTTGTATTTTGTTATAGTAGCCCCAGGTGACTGAGTTACCTGGATGGTAAAGCTGCCTCTGCGGAGGTAAGATAGGAATATTTTACAAATGCATACTGCAGCAGTAAGCACACACACACACAGATACACACACAAAACGTGTGAAGTGGACACACACACACACATACACACACACACAAAGACAGTCGGCCCTCTGCATTCTCACCTTTCCCATCCTCGGGTTCGGCCAAAGGCAACAGAAAACGTTCAGGAAAGAGTTAAATCTGCCCTGCTCATTATTCCCTAAACAATATCACATGACAAGTATTTACATGGCATTTACATCATGTGTGGTACTTAAGTAGTCTGGAGACACCTTAAAGTATCTTGGAGGATGTGCATAGGTTATGCAGATACTGTGCTATTTTAAGTAAGGGGCTTGGACATCCATGGATTTTGGTAATTGTGGGGTGTCCTGGAAGCATTTCTTTCTCAGGATAAGTGATACTTTTGCTGCTTTATTGGTAAACACATCTTTCATGATGTCCTAATCCCTCCACTGCCATCTCATTTAACTCCTGAACTCTGGCTGGCAGATGTTAATAACATCCTTATGAAAGGCAAGTGTTTTGGATCAACCCATAGATCTTCCCACATGGTAATGGAAAGTTTTAAGTACGTGGACTGAACTGTTTGATCAGCCTGTCTGCCCATTTTCTGTCAGAGGATAAAAGAGCATTTGTTAGCTCCAAATGCAGAAGAAAATGCAGAGCTCACATTTAATATCCGTTGGGTACAATTTATGTTTTAAATATCATAATTGTAGCCTTTCCAAATCATTATTTTTTAATGTGGTTAAGTACAATTCATTAGCACGGTGCTGAAGATAGCAATGGCATTTGCATCACCATCCGGCATTGTACTCAGTAGGTTCTGAGCCCACAGAGATTTCTGTGGCTCAGTGCAGCGGCATCACAGAACAGTCATGAACCTTGCCATGTGCAGGGGAGGGGCTGACACAGGAGTCGTGGTCCTTAGTGAACTGGGATCGGCTTGCTTCGCCTGCCCGCTCAGCCTACCTGAGGTGCAGCAGTCACCTGTCCCTCCTGCCAAAACTCCGGGAGGCTCAGGGCTGGCTCTGGGGCTCACTGCCTCCTCTTGATTTTTTATTCACTTTTGTTTACAACATTCTAATCTACGGAGAAATAAGTAGAGATTATTAAGACAAAAAAAGTGCTGGAGGTGTAATTCTGCCACATTTCAAAGTCCCAAATTGACCTTTGTGGACCAAAATGTAGATCCATGTTTCCTTTTTTTCCCCTAATTTACTTATTTATCTGAAAGGTAGAGTCACAGAGAGAAGGAGATGGAGGGATGGATCTTTCATCTACTGGTTCACTCTTTAAATGGCTACAACGGCCAGGGCCTGGCCAAACCAAAACCAGGAGTCAGGAACTCCATCCAGTTCTCCTATGTGGGTGGCAGAGGCCCAACCGCTTGGCCCATCCTTTGCTGCATTTCCCAGTGCATTAGCAGGGAGATGGATCAGAAATGGAGCAACCAGGAATTAACTTATTTGAGAGGCAGAGATGAAGTTTTCATCAGATGGTTCACTCTCCAAAGGCCTGCAACAGTCGGAGCTGCCCCAAGCCACAGCCACAGTGAGAACTCCATCTGGGTCTCTCATGCGGGTGGAGGGACCCAAGTACTGAGCCATCATTCGCTGCCTCCCTAGGTCTGCGTTAGCAGGAAGCTGAATTGGGGTGTAGCCTAGGTATGAAAGCTGAGTAGGATGATGTGGGAAGCAGGTATCTTAACCACCAGGCCAAATGCCAACCCCCAGATGTGCATTCATGAGAGCGAGGTGGGAGGCATAAGATAGAGGGGCAGACCTGCCCTCTCCCTTCTCCTCTAACCAGCTCAGCTTCTCTCCCCTTCTCTCTCTCGCTCTCTCCCTCCCTCTCTCTCTCTCTCGCTCTCTCCCTCCCTCTCGCTCTCTCCCTCCCTCTCTCTCTCGCTCTAGCTCTCGCTCTCTCCCTTGCTAGCTCGCTCTCGCTGTCGCTCTTCATCTAAAGTTGCTCCATCCTTGTGTGGCTTCTTGCTGGCTTCCACCACCATTTTCCGGCCTCCTCTTCTCCCTCCTGTATCCTCAGTTCCACTAACACCTGCTAGAAAACATTCAGGAGGGAAATCAGATCCGCACTGAACATGCGCAGATTGCTTTTCCTGTCATTCCCTAAACAACATGGCATCTACTTACCTGGCATTTACATCATTGTAGGTATTTAGTGAAAAGATGGGAGGCTGTGTGTAGGTTGTGCGACTGCACCTTTTTATTTAAGGGACTTGACCATCCATGAATTTTGGTATTTGTGGGGTTTCCTGGAAGCAGTCCCCCACAGATACCAAGGGGAGGCTGTGTGTCTGAGAGAGAGAAGAGAGCCAGAGAGGGAGGGAGGGAGCGAGGGAGAGGCTGTCAGGATAAATGAGGTCTTTTCTACTTTATTGGAAAAACATGTCTTTCGTGATGTCCTATTCCCGCCTAATCCCACCTAATCCTAATCCCGCCTAATTAGCTTCCTGCTAATGCCATCTCCTTCAACTCCTGAACTCCAGTTGGCTTTACGGCAAAGTCTCCCGCAAACCTGGGGTCTCCAGGGAGCCAGCAGGTCCACCACGCCCAGCTTTCCTGGCCGGACCGGCGGCCGCGCTCGGGATAAGGAGGATTGAGGAAGTGCCCGTGTTTCCCAGCAGGGGGCGCCCCGGGACCCAGGAGCCCCGCCCAGCTCCCTGCTGCCGCCCAATCGGCGCGCTTGGTGCGCGCAGGCGCTCGCAGCCCCTCGTGGCGTCCACGCGGCCCGGCGGCTGCCATTTCCACGCCTCTGGCCTGGTGAGGGCCAGGGCGATGTGCTGAAAAGCCAGAGGGGAGGAAAACGTTCCCGGAGCTGCGTCTTCTCCAGGTATGTAGTTCTCGGTTCTTTCCTTTATCCCTAAGAACGCGTGGATGGCGTGGGGAAGCGTGAAGGGAGGAAGACGCGGCCGTTCCCTCCCACCTTTGGGGCTTCTCGGGGTGGCTAGTTCCACGGTTACAAAGGGAGAAACGTGGCCGGCGTGTACACCCCACCTCTGCCTCCATTTCTAGGCCTTGCGAGGCCAGGCAGAAACAGGACTCACAGAACCAGGCCTCTCCCCGCCGGGCCGCGTCCAGCTCCAAACCCGTCCGAATAAGGGGTCTCCGGATTGCACAAGGGCCCTACTGCCCGCTTAGGGCCGTCCCAGCTGCGCACCTGCCTAGAACAGCCCTGCGGGACTCTCCCGTGGATGCTGGGGCTGGGAGCCGGGAGCCACACCGCCACTCTGAGCGTGTCGTGTGCAGAATACCCAGCAGGGCCTGCGCGGAACACCAGCCAGGTGCGGAGCCGAGTGCCGTGTGCAGAGGGGGCGGCACCACGTTTTCTCTGGCCAAGAAAAGCACCTGTTCAGTGCCGAGTGGAGAGCCCGTGGGCGGAACCTCTTCCCACTCTGATCATTTATAACAATAAATAGGTAATAACACATTTTAAAACTTACAAGTTGAGATTTTATGTGCATAGTATAGTGCCAGAGTCCTAGGTAATAAATACCAGCTAGTAAATTTACTGCTCTAAAAAAATTCCGTTTATTAACTCTTCTTTTATCCCAATGCTTGGCCAATTTTTCCTCTACTCATTTTTACTTAGGAAAATGGAATAAGAGTGAAAATATTTCCCATTTCCCAACTGTACCGTCATTTGTTCTCCTCTAAGAAATTTCTCCAAACCACCCAAGACTAAAAATAATGAGAATTTTATAAACCACTCATCTCTGCTTTCATTACTTGGATTTATTTCCCTTTGGACTTAAGTTTTTCTTCAAACTGATTTGAAAGATAGATTGATATATAGAGAAATAACTTCCATCTGTTTATTCACTCTCCAAATGCCTGCCACAGCGAGGAATGGGCCAGGCAGCAGCCGGGAGCCAGTAACCCCATCTGGGTTTCCTGGGTGGGTAGCAGGGACCTAGATACTCCAGCCATCATGTGCCACCTCCCAGGGTGTGCATTACCAAGAAGTGATTTCAGAAGCACAGGCAGGACTTGGTCCTAGACATTCAGATGTGGAATGTGGGCTATCAAAGTGGCAGCTTAACCCACTCGCCCTTTGGCTTAGGTTTTAAAATAATAATGTTGCCACTTCAGTTTAGCTCCTTGGAATATAATTCTTGTCTCTTTAGAAAAGGTAGTGTTTTTGAAAACATAAAGTTATAAAGATTTTGATTTGAATCAATTCATGCAAGATCTAGAAGTCACCCATATTTATGTGATTTAAATAATGGACACACTGTCCTAAGAGTTAGAAATTAAAGTGGGACCCAGCTAATAGAAGAACATTTCTCTTCTAATGAGGCTTCTATATTTCACAACAACAACAACAACAAAATGAACTAATTGAAAAAGGTAGTTTGAAGGTATTATTTCCAGAATGAATATTCCAAGGGAATGAGTCACTCAATCAATTATAACCAACTGCTTGAGTGTTTGCTGTGTGCAAAGAACTGCATGTTCCATATGTACTGATGAGAACAACTCAGTAATCAACAATATTAAACAAAATGCTGTAGACTGTGTATTAGGGAATGTGCTGGATGGTCTGCTTCTTTGCTGGTGGGGGAGGGGGGGCCTAGCAGACACATAGCAGAACAACTCTTCTGGTAGTTTCAATGTGGAGGAATGGGCCTATGTTATATTACCAGCACTTTTCTGCATTAGTACTTTCCAGTAGGATTTCCTCAGATTCTTCTCTAAGCTGTTTCCACAGGGAATGGAATTGAGTAAGGAATAAAAAGTTATTTTGTTCTCCTTTTTTTTTTTTTAAAAAAGATTTATTTGTTTATTTGAAAAACAGAGAGAGAGAAGGAGAGATAGAGAGATTTTCCATTCACTGGTTCACTTCCCAAAGGGCTGCAATGGATGGGGCTAAGCTAGGCTGAAGCCAGGAGCTTCATCTGGGTCTCCCACATGAGTGTAGAGGCCTAAGCACTTGGGCCATCTTCTGCTGCTTTCCCAGGCTCTTTAGCAGGGAGCTGGATTGGAAGTGGAGTAGCTGGGACTCAAGCTGGTGCCATATGAGATGCTGGCACTGTGGGCCATGGCTTTACCCACTGTGCCACAGTGCCAGCCACTTTTACTCTCCTTTCTTTGATAACTCTCTAGATCTGCTTAAATGGCCCAGATGGTTGTTAGACTGCCAGAATTATCTGCCACTAAGACCTCTTGTCAGGTCCCTCACAGAAATGCCACAAGGCAAGATGTGGTTTTTGACTTCAATGAGATGAATAGAAAAGGTACATGCAAACAGAAGGCAAAAGTGAATGGGTGTGTGAGGAGGTAGAGAGATTAATAGTTAAATTACAAAGTATTACATTCTGCAATTCACTGTTTAAAAAATCAGCCAAATAATTGAAAGACTATTCAGAAGAGGGAGAGGCAGTATGGCACAGTGGCAAAACTAAAGCTTTAGGGTGACAATTGGGAATTGTCAACCAGTTCCTTGTTAACTGACTAGATAAATCGCTTAATTTATCTGAGCTTCATTCTCCCCTGAGAGTGGACTAACAATACCCATTTCCTGTGATTGCTATGAAAATGTGGGTTCTTATTTAAATGACTGGTATTATTTCTTTCATATTTATGTCTCAATCTATGTGGAATTTTGTGTATAAGGCGAGATAGAAATCTAATTTTTTCCCATGGGTCTTCGTGTCTCTCCACCATTTTTTAAAAAATAAAATGTCTTGGCTCTGTGATGCCAACTCGGTTCCAGATAAGTTACCACATAATCATGGGTGCATTTCTGGGCTTTTGTTCCTCTTCTGTTGATTTGTTGGGCTACACCTGAACCAGTCGCTCTGAATACACTGATGTGTATTCATTCAGCTGCTTTGTACAATGTTTTACACCTGGGATAGAAATTCTGTCATATCATTCTTTATCATTGTCTGGGCCTGTGATACCCTTTGCTAAATTTCAGAATCAAGATCCGTGAGAAATGTTTTCAGGATTGGAATCACAGTGCACTAATTGCATAGATAGCCTTGGGAAGCATTAAACCTTTAAGGTACTAAAGGATGGGTAAGATTTGGTAGGCAGAGGGGGCCGATGTTGTGGCATAGCAGGTAAAGCTTCTGTCTGATGCTGGTATCCAATATGGGTACCAGTTCATGTCTAGGATGTTCCACTTCCAATCTAGCTCCCTGCTAATGGTCAGGGAAAAGCAGCAGAAGATAGCCCAAGTGTTTGGGCTTCTGTTACCATGTGAGAGACCCAGATGGGAGATCCAGGCTCCTGGCTTCGGCCTGGCCCAAAGCCTTGCAGTTTTGGCCATTTGGGGAATGAACCAGTGGATGCAAGAACTCTCTCTCTCTCTCTCTCTCACTCACTCTCACTCTCATTTGTCTTTGTCTCTCCCCCTCTCTCTGTGACTCTTTCAAATATATAAGTAAATAAATCTTTAAAAAAAAACCCAAAAGATTTAATGGGCAGAAAGTAATGAAGTACATGAAAGGAGTTGGAGCAGAAGGAATGGCACAAAGCTGGAAGGCCCAGGGTGAGTGTGATACATAGAATGGTCTAGTGTGGCTAGAGAGTGATGGATACCAGAAAGGAGATGTGGGATAGAGGCCTGGAAACCCCTGAACTGTCAAGCATGGAGTGCAAGGTACAGAGAGAAGGCCATGCCAACCCCAGGGCCCAAAAAGTCCAGGGTCATTCATCTAGCGAAAGTCATCTTCCTATCCAACTTAGTGAAATCATAATGTAGGAAAAAAACAGCTAGGAAAAGTTGGAGAGGGGCTGGTGCTGTGGCATATCGGGTTAAGCCACTGCTTGCCACTGCTTGTGGTGCCAACATCCCATATGGGCACTGGTTCCAGTCCTGACTGTACCACTTCCAAAGTCCTTTTTCTCCTGCACCCGTATGGGGGACCTGGAAGAAGCTCCTGGATCCTTGCTCCTGGCTTTGGACTGGCCCAACTCTGACCATTGTGGTCATTTGAGGAATGAACCAGCAGTTGGGAGACCTTGACCCCCCCTCCCAATCCTTCTTTCTCCCTCCACCCCCTCCCCTTCCCTCCTTTTCTCCCTTTCTTTGTAGCTCAGCCTTTCAAATAAATAAATCTTTTAAAAGAAAGAAAAGTGGAGAGACAGAAGGAAGTTTAGCTTGATGTTAATCAGGCACTAAGCTGAGAAAACATTGCTCTCAATAGGAGCCTTTTTAAAATGTGATATTATTCTACCCATGGCTACTAAATCCACTGGAAAATACTCTGTGGGAATATGAGCTAAGAAATGTACATTCTCTGCTAGTTTCCCCACAGGTGCCATTAGTTTGACCAAAAACATGCTCAGCCGGAAGTACTCATTAAATTCCCAAAGTGGAGCCCACTTTCCCTGTCTGAAGATGTTTGGGTACATGGGTCAACTCTCTGTGTGCTGTGCATTCAGTTTTCCTGTTGCTTTACCACTGTGATTTCCAGAACCTAGAAAGAAACATAGTTCTACTTCTGTTATGCAGAACCCCTACTGGCTGAGTGAGTCCCCTGCAAAGCAGTTCTAAAAGTTGGCTGGATGTTAGCATGTACCATCCAGTGTTTGCAGGATGACAGCACTGACGAGTTAGGCAGACGTGAGGATCGGTCCACCCATGTGGCCCAGCCCTCTCCTGCAGCAAGTAAGGATACAGGCTCCAGAAGATGATCAGCTTCTCCCCAGGGAGGCAAATTTGGGAAAGAGCAGAGACTAGGTTTCATGTCTCCTGATTTCTTGCGCACAGCCCCACCCAGCTCACTTGCCTTCTTCTTGAGACAGCTTTGTTAGACATCTAACTGGTCCCTCTCTGCAAATACACTGCTTGTTCATTATTTTCCAGTTCACTTCCAAATA